GCGAGATATGCTGGAAAAGGAAGGAAGGAAGGAATATAGTTGGGTCTTGCCATTTCCTTTTAGAATTTTATTACCTCTTTGATGATGGGAAATCAGCCTTTGAAGGGGGAAACCCCTGGCTTTAGTCTGGGAGGGGACACTCCCTGTTTATTTTCCAGATAGACATGTATCTTGATTTTCGGGCCTCCTCTATAAAGGGGTTCCCTGTTTCCTGCTGGCACTGTTTGTATGGTACAATAAACATTATTATTCCTTTCCTGCCCAGAAAAGAGAGGAAGTATAAGAAATGCAATGAAAGAGGAGGAGGTACTATCTCCTCTGTATCTCTATTCTGTATCTCCAAGGAAAACATGAAAAGAAAGGGAGGGGGAAAGCCTGACATTGATCCAAGTAAAAGTGGCCTAGGATCTGTGTATTTCTTACAAGAGGGGAAGACCCTGTTTTTGTCCCCCTCACTACAATTTTCACATTATGCAGGAATGTTGTCATTTCTTTCAAATTCTAAATGTTCTCTTTAATAAAAATGAGACATGGTAGCATGGTGTTGTTATGTTATGAATGTTTAACACAATATTAAAAAAAAATACTATTCTGCAGTTTGTACAGTTTATTATTGGGATATAAACAGAACAGCTTGGTATTTTCCCCCTAAAATCTTTCTTAAGATAAAATTATCATGATATGAATTAAGCTTTAAAATGTATTGCTTTTAGAATGAGGGTAGTTGCAAGAAGGTACTTCTAGGTGTTACACTGAGTGAAAGAAATCAACTGGTATTTCCTCTCTATGTTTGCACAGCTAATGAGCTTATAGTGTGCCAATATTACAGTGATTTCAATGGAATTGCAGATAAATGAATTTAGGACTCCATGTTGCTACTGGAGAAATAAATAGCATGAAGACAGATAATATTACTGATATCCGTGTTAAGTTGAACAAATTAATATCATTGCAAGTTTGCAAGACCTGTTACATTGTTACTTTATTGTGCTGTCTAAATAAGGCTACATGCTTGCTTGGGCATAAATACAGTGGAATTCAGTGGAAAGAACTGCGGTGCCAGCAAAGAAGTCACTAAAGTCAATTAAAATTGTTCATTTGTTTGATGTTGGTCACATTTCAGTGAAGGGTTTGAAGAGTGACTAAGTACAGTAATGGTGCTGTGAGCTAGTTGCCAATTTTTACACAGGTGAAATTTTGATTTGGCTTCTAAATTTTATCAGTCGTTCAAATTCAAAATGCAGTTTTGGAAATATGTTAGAAGAAAACATAAGAACTCAGTATTTGAGAATCGTTAGTATTTCTATTTTTTTTAACTTTTTGAGTTCTGCTTTCCATTTTAAAGGCTTTTGCAATATATTCACTCTCAGCATGAGAACTGAGAAAAAGGAATATAGCTATGTCCTGTATGGTTTCTGTGATAATATTTTGCTATGTACTAGTTAGTAAAGCACATATGAAGTCCGAGTTTACATAGCTTCACATGCCTGAAAAAATGTTGATATGACTCGAAACTGGATTGGACTTAACACATCTCATTAAATCAAATGCTATGTTGGGGAAGAGGAGACTATTGGTGTTCTCAAGTATAAGCGTTCTAAACTTGGGAATAGGTTTTCTAAGCAACATACATACTCACTATTGAGAACCAAATAATAGTAAACATAATATATGCTTATTAACATTTCTCACCTAGTATAACCTGTGTTGTGAGCAACTGACAGGATCTGATACATCCTTCCATGGAGACAAGGGCACAAATTAGTCCATGAACCTGACCTTGACCTCTGTACTTGCATAGCTGCAGCTTCTTGCCTTTCCACTGTATAAAGGATTCAGAGGTTAAACAAGGTCACCTGCATGTGTGGAATTCTTATAGTGATCTAATGCATGTTACTCAGGAACTGTGGTGCTTATACAATATAACTCTGCATATTATGTTGGTTGTGTGAAGTGCTTATATTTATTGTCCTACCTGTTTTTTTTTTTTAAAACAAAAACAGTCTTCCATACTCATCTATTTCATTAGTATTACTTGGCTGTAAGGGTTTGAGTGTAAGAAAAGCGAAACTAAGTTGCATTAAGATATCCCATAAATATATTTTCTAAGTATGCCCCAAAACTAAACTATTTATGTTTTATGGAAGTCTGTTTATGGATAATATTGGATTTGGTGATATGATGAAACAGAAGGCCAGGCATGGAATAAGGTGAATATTAATTAGATGTGACCAGCTCAGTCACTGGCTGACTTAGAAAAAAAATCCAAGTAATAAAACTTTCCCATTCCCACAAATCACCAAATATAACTTAAGAGGTGGGAAAAACCAAGTGGTAATAAGTGCTTTTCTAATAATCAAATAATTAATCCAAATTCAATCCAAATTGTGTGGCAACAATGAAAAAGAAATGACCTGAAATGACTTTTAGAATATTATATTTTTGCATGTGTGATATCTGTTTATAGTCCTTGTTACTAAGAAGACAAAATATAGAAACATATAAATTCCTGGTGTCCTTGCTGAGTAACAGAGCATGTGTCTGCTTTAATGTCTTATACTGAATTATTGCTTAGGCTACTGGTAGACTTTTATGACCTTCTTTATGTCAAGAAATAAGAAAACAGTATTTTGAACAGTTGCATTTTGGTACATTTGAATGGGCACAAGGCTAATCTACTTATCAAAGTATTCACAAAGGCTTTCATGGCCGGGATCTAATGGTCGTTGTGGGGTTTTTCAGGCTCTTTGGCCGTGTTCTGAAGGTTGTTCTTCCTAACGTTTCACCAGTTTCTGTGGCCGGCAT